ACTTATATATATAATATATTATTAAAGTATAATTTCAAAAATAAAATATTTTTTATTAAATAGCTATATATGATTTGTATTTATTTATTTAATTATTTTTATACTATTTAATATTTTTTAAAATCTTTTATAAATATATAGATTTACTTAATTATTATATTATTTATTATTTAAGTACAATTTTTTTATATTTATTTATATTTTATTTTAATTTTTTTTCGTTTAACATAATAAGTTATCTAAATTATTTTTTTCGCTTAATTTTATATAATTTAGTTATTATATTTGAATTATCATAACTTTATATTTTAATAACTTGATTTAATTTAATTTATATATTCTAAATTTAATTTCACTTATCCATAACAATGTCGATATATATCAAACGTTCCTAGTTCTAACACTCAACCTTGAGTGGTGTAGTGGTTGCATTGCTTGTCTTGCTTCCATGAGATACCAGGTTTGAATTCTAAGGGCAGCAATTTTTTTTAATTCAATATATCGCGATATATGTATAATATTCAGAGGTATAACAGAACTTTTGAAGAAAAACTAACGCCGTTAACGGAGAAATAGAGACAAGGGAGCGTGTGCACCTGAAACCTTAATAGAAATAGAGACAAGGGAGCGTGTGCACCTGAAACCTTAATAGAATGGGGTCTGACGTAATTTTTAAAATACAGGGGGGAAACGCGCAGATTTAGTATAATACAGGGGGGTTTGGTGCATTAAACCCCTAAATAATCATTATATACTTTTACAAACCAGATTTGGTCGTACTTTTATTTTTATAAACGAGGGGGGAAATGCACATAATTTTATTTTTATTGTTTAATAGATAATACAATACTTAAAATTTGATTTAAAAATAAAAAAAAATAAATTTAAAATACAATTTTATCTATTTTCTTTATTTTGTAATTTAAATATTAATCAAAATTTAAAATATAATAAAAATTATTATCATTATTCAACATATCGACTTTATCTATTATTGAACTCTTATTTAGAGAAATGTCATTATACACTATAACATTAATTATGAACATATAAATAATTATATATTATATATATAATAAATAAAAAATTATATATTAGTTAAACATATTCGACCGGTTCGACCACTGGTCCGACCAGTGAACCATTGATACGGTAGCTTCACCTGTTCGATGACCGGTCCGGTTTTGACAACATTGCTCTGTACACACATTTCACACACAAACACACACACACGCATAGCGCTCGCCACCGGCCACTCCACACAGAATCACCGCACCGGCCACTCCACACAGAACCGCCGCATCCACCGAGTCGGCCGTCACCGCCGCCGCACGCCGACGCCCGAGAACGTCGGTGCGGTCGCCGTCCTTCTTCATCCACATATTCCCGCCTCATATTGCGCGTTGTTTCATGCCATAAATAAACTCGAACACTTACGAAATCCGTTGGACAGGCAGATTCACACCTCTTACAACCAACACAGTCCTCAGTCCTTGGCACAAGCAATTTGTTTAGCTTTACACCCGCCCTAGGGTATCATTTCTAATACATCAGTAGGCACATTATCATGGCGTACTCCACCTGTTCGAAGCGGGGCTCAAATCTAACGAGAAGGTGTTCTCCTCCAGTGACACCAAGCAGTATACCTTCTAGATCCACGAGGCGCCTGCTCCTGGAAGTCGGCAGAGGTCACACCTGGTCCCCTGGAAGTCGGCAGAGGTCACGGCGGCGCCTGCGCCTGCATCTGGAAGTCGGTGGGCCGTCCCGTGACGGCGATCAACAAGAGCGACGGTGCTTGCTGAGAAAGACTGACAGAGACGAGTCGGAGTGGCCGCGGTCGAGCCGGTGACGGCGCTGTATGTCGTCGGAGAGATCCTCATGGCTAGCTTCGCTGATGTTTGTTCCAGACAGGGTGCTGACGGGTAGTCCACTCGGCGGCAATCGACGAGATATTGTCGGTGCTTGCTGCAGGGCCGAGCCGAGATGGTCACGGTCGCCGGAGATGGCACAATTTGAGCCGACCAAAACTGTAGAATGTGATTTGGGAATTAGGGTGTGGTTTTTGCAATTAAATAACGTTGAGGGCATATTTACAATTTTATTAACTTTGATTATTTATCATTTTAGATAATGGACAAGTATATAATTTATAGTAAAAATTTCATAATGAATCTTAATGATAACTAAAGTGTACATTGATTCAAATTTTAATATTTAAATATTTAATATGTAATTACGAATATGCGATTAAAAATTACGTGTACTACAAACAGCACAATATTTATGTTTCAATTAAACGATAGAATAAAACTAATATTTTGATTTGAGATATTTCGTTAAAAAATAATTACACTTTGATTGCACATTTGTGCTAGATGAATTGCACATTAATGATTGTCGGATTGCACTATAGCGACTGACAACGATCGAACTATTTTTTCTATTTGAAATTTATATTTTGGTCTGACTAACTATTTTTACATTTAAAACCTTGATTATTTATGGGAAAATTTTGATCACGTGCACAAGCGTGCAGTTGACGGCGAGATCGGCAGCAAGGCTCCGGCGAGAAGACAATTTTGCAGAGGCACTGTCGGTGAGGCTCCGACAGGGTATATGTGAAGAGACATTTATGGGCATGATTTTGAAAATTATATGGTATTTAGGGCCCCAATTGAAATTTTAATAATTTTGATGATATTACAATTTAGCCCATTGGACCAAATCAGTGATTTATAAAAAGTTATAAACTATTATTTTTAATTATACTTGTTTATACATATTTATATAGATATATATTAATTTTCAATTAAAAATTATATAAAATATTAAATAAAAATGTTAAAATAATATACATTTTTGTAACATAACTAATAATTATTTTGAATAAATAGGTTAATACAAAAGACTAATCAAATTACCCGATCATCTCGTTCGATTTTAATTTGGAGTTGCCAAAAATAAAAAAACTACTCAAAAAAAAAAAAATCACACAATAGTTATATTAGGTTATTTTGATGTACAATTATATCTACTAAATCTAATTTTCAAAAAACACATAAGTTATATGTGATCGTATAAAGTAGTGCACTTCATATATCAAAATGTTGCACTTAATAAAACAATACGTTGCACTTTATAAAATAACACGTTGCACTTTATAAAACAACATGTTGCAATTTATCACTACACTCCATACTTAACGTTAAACAACTTCCCGCTAAAAATACCACACAACATAAATATAAAAAACGGATATACATAATATTTTAACATCAATCACATCATTTATCCATCCGAAGCATAAGCAGTACCAAAATTACATGAGTGCACTTTACACATCAACATGTTGCACTTTATAAAATAACACGTTACACTTTAGAAAACAACACGTTGCACTTTATCATGACTATTAGATTGAACAATAAAGATCAAAACCGACCGAAATCAAATTTTTTCAACCAAAACTATATAGAAATAATAAATAAACCATAAATATAATTTAATATAATATGATAATTCCGTTAACCGAACCGAATAAACCAAATAAGTATGTTAATTTTCAATTTGATTTGGGACAAAAGATTAGTCGGTTCAATCTGCACAATGCAGACCGACACCGTGCACCATAGTGATGCATAAATTGCACCTTACTAATTGTTAGATTGCATCGTATATTTCGATTACATATATACAATTTTTTAATTACAAAAGTAATATAAAATGTAAGAAAAAAATATTAAATACTAATCATGTTCTTTTATAATAAATAATATACTTTATGTCAGTTATCTCGATTTTTTATATTAACAGAAAAATTAAACCGTTTACGTCGAAACCAAACTTTTCATTTCGAATTTTAAATTTCGGTTCAATTATCATTTTTTATATTAGAAAACTCGATTATGTCAATTAGTTTTTTACGTTTTCTTTGATTTTGTTTAGATAACCAAAAAACTCTAATATTATTATTTATTATTATTATGTAAAAATATTATTATTATTTTTTATTCTGCATCTTATTCATGAATACTGTGCATTTATTTAACTTTTATTATATCACATATTGGCCCTATGTACTAAATTGTAAATATATTAAAAGTTAAAAATTGAATACAAGTCCCCTCACCATGTCTAATTCCACAAATATGACCCAATCCAAGATCTACAAATCCGTCCCAGCACCTGCTATTCATCACCGTCATTCGCCGCCGCCTCGACGGCGGCTCTCGACTCCATCAGTCTCGCCGTCGACCACTGTGTAGATGCTCACGTTCACCATGTCCGACGTTGATTCCGACACGGCGACACCATCTCCGGCTGCAATTGTAGATCTCGTCGCCGTTCAAAGACTACTCATCGTCACCGCATAATAAGCGTCCACAGCGTCCTCGACCCACCCCTGCGACCGTGGAGCTCCCAGAACACGGCAAAGAGACCACCGCTGAACAGTGGTTTCGAACAACTGTCCGCCGAACCTCGAAATTTGAACACGGAGATGTCGCGATGACGGAGGTGGCCAATTTCGTGATGATTCAGACGGCAACGACGCATTCGACGGTCAGATTCATGGCGATTCCGACAGCTACGGGAAGTGCGCGCGCGCGTGTGTGTGTGTGAACTGTGTGTGCGTGTGTGTGCTCGTGTGTGGTCTCTGTGACTGGCGGGTGACGGCGGTTGAACGACTGCCGGAGATGGCAGAGACACGGCGGAGCTGTGTAAAAGGTGTGTGTGTGTGTGTGTGTGTGAGTGATGGAGAAGATGAATGAGGGGCAGGTGTGGTGTCCGTAATTTATGTTGATATTAATTATTAATGTGTAGTGGTGGGTCCCACAATGTTGTTGGATTTGAATTAAATGTCCAAACTACCCTTAATTATTGGTCAAATACACATATTTGACCACAATATGATCAAAATTACCAGATTGTCATTAATGGTTGACCATAGTTTGACTTCATCATAACCATTAATATGATTGATCTCGTAGTTTAAATTTATTCTCATTTCTTTCACTGTTTATCATTCTCATATGATCACTTCTCTCTCTATATATATAATGGTAAAAATGCAATAATACGCGCACGCTTTAATTTATTAACAAAAGATACAAATTTAATAAACTGTGGGCTACAACGTTTTGTGCAGGCCGCCTCAGCATTTTTTTCCCGACCCACAGAGTCAAGTCAAAAGAAAAAAAGAAAAGGAGAAGACGACCCATATAATTAATTAATATCTCTCTTTTCTCCGCAACTTAATCCCTACACAAACCCCATTTTGGTCTTGTGCAGGTCTTAAAGTCGTCACTAACCAACCACAGATCACACAGTCACAGGTGAGTTACATTATCAATCAAATAAAGAAAGACTGAGAGACCAACAACCAAGGCCCGGACCTAAAGTAAAGAAAGAGGTAATTTTGTATGATAAAAATTGATTTAGTAAGAATAGGAGTTGGAAGTAGTGTTTTGTTTAATATGGTGCAACCCTGAAATTCTTTCCCATAAATGTTTGTCCATACTGCCAACCATTGGGGGCAATGTTCCGTGAGGTGGATGTTCTGCCGTCACTGGCTCTAACCCTGAACGAGAGCTGCTGACCGGCCAAAGCCGCATTTGTTTGCCAGTTTTGCCCCCAGTTTCTGCTCATTTGAATCCATCGTGTGTTGGTACCTTTTACAAAAACTTGGACAACATTCCCTGCACCGGCCACATTGGTGACGAGAACGAGGTTGAAGTACTTGAAGCCGTTGATGGTAAATCTAATGCCTCCCTTTTTCCTACATGGCACTCTGCAGAAACAAATTCATGAACAATTAATGTGATTTCATCCTCATCAGGCATCTAGACTTCTAGTAGTGTATAATTAATTAATTAATACTCCTATATATATATATATATACCTGCGGTACTGAACAGGAACAATTCCATTTTTCTCTGATGCGAGCTGGAGGAACATAGGCATGGCGAGGTCGAAATGTGGCCTGGGTGGGTTGCACCAACCCCCGTCGTCGCTGGAGAGACCATAGTTTGGTGGGCAATGGTTGGTGGCAGTTATGAAGATGGAGGTCTTCCCAACCTCGTACTGCTGCCAAGAATGTTCGGGCTCTCTTGTCTTTATCTCGAAGCACGCGCCGCAGCTTAACCCGTTATCGAAAAGGGCCATGCTCAGGGCCGCTGTGTTCACCCCATACCCCTGGCTGTACAGATTCCCGTACCCACAAGCTCCACCTGCAAATATTTAATTAAAATTATTAATTAATTGTATTTTGATTTTATTTTGGGGAAGAAAGAGGAAAACAATTAATTAAAATATAAGAAGAAGATACCCATAGTGCCGGAGGCGTCGCTGCCGCCGTAGAAGGTGGCGTGGGCAGTCATCCACTGTCCGGCGGTGTAAGCGCCGGGAATGCGGGCTTCGATTGAAATCGCCATGAGTAAAGAAGCTGCAATGAGAGCTAATAAAGCCATAATAATTTATTTAATTGTGTATGTTTTGGGACAAATGGGGTGAGGAGTGTTGCTGCTACTTATATATTGGGCAGAGCTCAGTGGCAGATGATGTAATTCCAGAGAAACTCCGCGTCTTCTGTTGACAATACGCTCTAACTACAGTCTACAGATGTGATGTGAATCAAAGCTTTTGTAAGGATTAACGTGGACTTTACGCGCTCTCCAATGGTTTTAGCTAGGATCAGTGGGGTCCAGATGTAGAGGATTTTAACAAAAGTATTATGATTACCTCTGCCAGTTGGGTTGACATAAACATTCCCTTCCTACCATGCATAATTTACGCAGTGATTGGATGCTGCACATTACCAATATATATTTAATTTTGCAATCACCTTTTTGGCTATTCACCATTCCTTTGACCACAACACAAACAACTAATTATATTGTTGGCACTTGGTACTTGACCAACCCTGGCACTTGACCAACCCTTGTTTACTAGTATTGTTTTCACCGACCACATTTTTTTTTTTTTTCAAACGATAGGTAATCTCATAGAATAACAAAGAAAATAGTGTTTGAATACAAATGGGTACAAGTCTTAAGAGAAAAATTCAAAATTAGTCCCACAGGTATAGGGGGTGACAATTTAGGTCCCGACGGAATGCAAAAAATATGAATAGTCCCACAATTTTTAAAAAATGATCAAAAGTAGGACTTTTTCGCCGGATTTACTATTTCCGGCCTAGAACGCCACGTGGCGCACACATGACTTATTTTTTTACACACTGGCAACCGACGTAGATATGAAAAAATTCAAAACTAGGGAGGTGACATTTTTGGTCCAGATGGAATGCAGAAAATTCAAAACTAGTCCCACAACTTGTAAAAAAATATGAACAAGTCGGATGCCAGCGTGTAAAACAATAAGTCACGTGTGCGGCACGTGGCGTTCCAGGCCGGAAATAGCAAATTCGGCGAAAAAGTCCTACTATTGATCATTTTTTAAAAGCTGTGGGACTGTTCATATTTTCTGCATTCCGTCGGGACTAAAATTTTCACCCCCCTATACCTGTGGGATTAGTTTTGAAATTTTCCCCAAGTCCTAAAGCCGAAGGCAATAAAACCATAGAGCACTACTTATACAAGTAGGCTAAAATATACAATCAATACACCAAAGGCAGAACAAAGTTGGATCTTCTAGTGAGCAGATAAATCTAAAACAGGATACAAACAAGAGAACCAAACCACTGAACTACAAAGTAGACCTAGTAGGAGCTCATTGCTTGCTGGAACATCATGTGCACTTGACCTTGGTTTCTTTCCATTCACCCAAAGCACCTTTGACAATGCTGTTCTCGGGCCTCTATTTTTTTTTCTCAAAAACCCAAAGGTTTCGAGACTTCCAAAGCCACCATAGTATGTAAGTTGTGAGTTCTATTCTGTCTTCAGTAGCTTTGGACTTGTCTACGTAGCAGATTGTTCCCCACCAGTCTCTGAATTGATAGCTATCCACTTCAATTCCATCCCAGCTAACTAGTGCCATCTTCCATACCTTTCTTGCTCTGGAGCATGTGAGAAAAGTCTGCTCAACAGTTTTTGTAGCTTCCCCACAGCAGGGGCAAGTTGCATCAACATCCACTCCTCTTCTTTTTAGGTTCAGATTCACAGGCATGGAGTTAGTGTAGCATTTTCCATAGAGAGTGTTTTAATTTGCCTTTGGTTCTAAACTTCGACTTCTATGTCTGATTTGTTGATTCCTGATTGCTGTGTTGCTTCCTTCTGCAATGTCAAGAGAGTGTAATTTTTTGAGGAGCAGAAAAGCATAGGATGATGAGACTGAGAATCTGCCTTGAGTGCCAATGCTCCATCTCCATCTGTCAGCTAAAAGAGAATCTGCCTTGTGTTTATCTTCACCGACCACATTGATATTATATTTTTACTTCATATGGTAAACTATACAAACAATTAGACCTCGAATCACCTGAGGACAACTTGTTTGTTACGTTTTTGTCGTGTTTTTTGTGTCATAATTGTATATTTTTAGGTTTGTTCTAGAGTTGACCGGTCCATTTTGTTATGTTTTGTGTATTTTTTCTCTCGTCTTGTGTTCTTATGGTTCGGTGTATTTTCTTGACTTTTTTGTGTTGACTGGGTCCATTATGCAAAGCTAGGGAAGAATAGTCATCCGAGTCCTTGTCGAGCCATCACGAGATTTTTCTGAGCCATTATCGGGACCGTCCGAGTCGTGCTAAGAGAGAAAGTCGAGGCCCGAGGCAGCAACGCTTACTCGCCCTGAGCAAAGACCCGCACATGACAGCGCCTGCTAGCGCCCACGCCCAACGTCCTACGCGGGCCCGCGCATCTTCCAACACTCTCGATCGAGGCAGCATCCTGCGAGCATAAACATGTGTCAGCCGCGGAACTCGCGACCCAACATGCCTGTTTGCGACCTCGCGAGTCCGGGACGAGAAGATCCAACACTCGCAACGCGAATCCTAGTTCGTGGCATCGTTAGTTCAAATGTTGAGATGACCCCAGCAGTCACGAAGTGACTTGGCACCCACGACCTTGCGAGTTCTCGCCCGTGCGCACTAGTGCCACTCGCGACCCAAGCATCCATACGCGGGGTCACGAGTCCCAAACTATGCCGAGTAATCACTTGGAAACCGAGGCAGCCCTGCGACCTTGCGAGTTCATTCTGTGCTAGCACCAACACCCACGAACCGGACCAAATTTCTTGACCTTGCGAGTGCATTTCATTAAATGTGTATTTTTAGTGCGCGTTTTTGTTGTACAGTATAAATACATTTGCTCCCTTTGTGTGGGAGCATCTAGACTTCTTTTATTTATTTTTATTTTTTGGGAATTGCTCTCTTTTTATTATTTTCTTTTTAGACCAAACTTGGGAGGTTCTACCCATACTTTTCCGGTGACTTTTTTCGGTTATGCTTGTTTTTAGTAAAGTCTCGATCTTTTCACGTCTACTTCGCTCGAGAGTGCATAGGGAAGTAAGTACCTAGGTTTAGGACTTATTATCTAGTTTATTGCTCTATTTTTGCTTAGTTAGTGTTAAAAAGTAAAAGCAATTTCTTGTTGGAATATCGTGTTGAGTTCGTTTCTAGTTAAGTTCCGACCTTTTCGTATATATTGCGCTCGGGAATGCATAGGGAAGTAAGGACCTAGTGTTAGGACTTATTATCTTGTTGATTGTTTTATTTTTGCGCACTTAGGTTTAAGAGGTAAAATTAGTTTCTCGTTCGTAATTTTTATGTTGATCTCAATTCTAGGTAAAAATGCTAACTTTTGTTTTATCTAGCTTATTGAATGTGACTGGTTGATTAAAGTTTGTATCTTTTGAGAGAAAAATTGAGACTTTGGTCAAAGTTTCGGTTATTTCGAAATCATTTGTTCGCTTTAGTTTTACTTGCCTGAGATATTGCTTGTTTCTCTTTGTTTGAGTCTTTTCTCGAGTTTGAACACTCTGTTGCAGATGAAGTCTAGAATTTTCTCCCAAGCTCTCATCTTTCATTAATTGCTTTCATTGCTTAGCCTAATCTAGTGCAAAAATCAATCCCTCAATCGTGCTTAGAATGTTTAGGACCTTATTTTCCCTTTTTGTGCTCAGAATAGTCTTCCTTTCAGAGACGACCCGAGTGAGACCCTTCGATAGTACTCGATTAAAAACAAGTTAACAAATGACGCCGTTGTCGGGAAAGACAAGTAATATGCCAAGTTTACTTATTAGTTGTCTCTCGTTCCCATGTTTCTCTTGATTCTTATGCTATTTGCTTAATTTATGTGTTCTCTTGCTTTCTCTTGTTTTTAGTAGTTAGTTTGTGTTTGATCTTGCGATTGGACTCTTCTTTCCAATTGGTGCCTTCGCGGGTATAGTTGTTTGTTTGTGTGTATGCGAGGTAGACGAAGGCGTGATACTCGAGAAGAGACATCACCGTTTGAAATCAACGAAGAGCCACAGATAGATGAGACTTGGCCCGAGTCAGAAACAATGGCGGACCAAGGAGAACAATTACAAACACCTCATCTGAATATGAGGCACTTTGCTCGGCCAGTCACAGGCGACAACACCTCATGCCTCATGCTCGGAGAGACAGCCTGAAATTACAATTTGAAGACCATCCATCTCAATCAATTACCTCTGTCTATGGCCTTCCTCAGGAGGACGTAGTGAATTTCATCTGGGAATTTTATTCTATAGTCAATACCTTTCCTCTACAAGACCTTCTCGAGAACTAACTCCGAATGCGATGTTTCCCATACACTTTGAAGGATCGAGCGAAGACTTGGTTCATGACCCTTCTCCCGAACTCTCTTACTAATTAGGAGGCGGTGTATGAGAAGTTCATGGCGAAGTATTACTCCTACCAAAAGTTGACGGACCTTAGGGCCCAAATGGTGAGCTTTAGCCAAGTGCCGGGAAAGACTTTCCATAAGGCGTGGGAGTATTTTAAAGGTTATCAACTTCAATGTCCACATCATCACTTTTGTCTCGGGGTCTTGAACCAATTCCTCTATGATGGTCTTCCTCAAACGCTTCAATACATGGTGGATCACGTGGCCAGAGGAGATATAGGTAGCCACACGAAGGAGGAGATTTATGATTTATATGAGATGCTAAGTGAAATTCTCAAAAGAAGAGCGTCCGAAACGGATTCCCGTGAATGAAGCTGCTCTTTCATCCGACTCTTAAACAAATGATGCGGCCTTGGCCAAATTGGTTTCGTTGTAAGAAGAGCTCAAATACCTTTGCCTAAGAAATGCAACGTCGCCTCAAGTAGCAATGGCGGAGGTATGTGGAAGTTGTGGCGATGTAGGCCATGGAACTCGAGAGTGTCCGAGGTATATGGAGTCGAGTTATGATCCAAGTTTCGAAGGGGTCCCATTTGATGTCAATGTCATGCAAGGGTATGCTCCCTGGGTCCAAAACGATCCTTATTTGAATACTTACAACCCCGGATGAAGGAATCACTTGAATTTCTCGTGGAGGGACCCAAAGGTGAATTATGCGCTGCAACCGGCACCTCCTCAAGAT